CCGCTCTTCAGAGAGTGCTAAGTTTAGAGCAGCGTGGTTAAACGTACCACCCTCCGTGGGGAATGACCAGAAAGATTTCAAGTTTCCCTTACCTGTAAGGAGGGAACATGTGCTACCCTTTTTGGCACGACAGTGCTGGTGGTCTTTGAAGCCATCCCAGCTAAGGTGCAAGCCTTCAGAGGAAGCGTGGGTGCTTCAGAGTCATTGGAAGGTGTGACACTCCTGCCAGCAGCAGTCGTCTTACTGCTCACAAGGCCTGGAAGAAACAGAAAACATCTTTAGGTAGAAATCCCACCACTGGGCTTCAAGTTGCCAGAATGAACTTACTATAAAAGGTCCATGCTGCAAGCTGTAACTTTTTTCAAATGGAAGCCTCCAGAGGGATACAAATTGGGTAATTTCACCACCTTCCAGGCAAGGATGAAGGAACCTTCTGCCAGGAAACGTGCCTCATTTCTGTTTGTTTTGGGGTGACTGAGTCAGCAGAGTTGAAAGAGGTAAACCTGTCAGCTACGATGCACTAACTGCCCCTCACGTCAGCTCTGAGTCCTTCCAACTACAAAGGGATACCAACGAGCATTAATTAGTACTTCCCTCCTGTTCGTGCCACCTCTGCAGGCTTGAGTGGTAGAGTGAATGAGGAGCAAACACACTCCAAGGAAGCAAGCGAAAAAGAACAGGCTGAAGTGAGAGAGGCTGGGTGAGACAGACGGGGAAAGAGGGCTCTACATCTAGTCTGTCGCTTTTCAGAACAAGATGGAGTTTCTCAGGGGGAAGACCTTCCCCCGGTCACTATCAGGAAAGATTCAAGTCGCGGCCAGTGCTACACAGCTGATGGTTTCACATCCACTCCGGACAAGTTTAAACAGAACACAGTGTCTTTTTACAGGGGGGAGGACAGGACAGCGATCAAAAATAACACTGCTGGCTTACTTTGTCTGGCTGCTGCGGAAAGGGCTGCATTTGGCACGTGAGCAATCCTCTTCTTTTCTCCTGGCAAAGAAAGAGAGGCCTTTTGAACGGCCACAGCCAGCTGTGCCGCCTGCTGCTGAGCCAGCTGGATCCTCTGGTAACAGACCTCCTGCGCGGTGAGGGGACGGTACGGCCGGACTACGGGCTTGCTCGGGACCTCTGCCTGCACAGACAAAAAGGTGTGAAAGACAACATGCTCGCCTGCTTTACCCCCACCCTCTGGCATCCATTCACCCAAGAAAGGTCTCTTTTCCTCAGCCCCTCTCTGCCAGCAAATACAGGTTTTTGAGAAGATCCCAACCATCTTCCAGAAAAAAAAATATTTAGAGTCACTCACTGAAAAAAATGACATTAATGATTCACCTCTGGCAAGGCCTCCCGGCACTCTGGCACTTTCCGAAATTGGTAGGTGGTATCTGAACTGCTTGTTTAGTGGCATGATGTTCCCCATCACTATGTCCAACCCACTTTTGGACTCTGTCAATACTCTCAGCTCTACAGTCTTGCACTAGAAAAAAATCTAGCCCCATGCTGCCTACTGCATGCTTCTTCAGTTTATACTGCAATGAGAAAATGACCAGCTATTCTCCATTCCTACACAATGCTGAGTTTTACAGCGCTCTCCCTGCCTCTCTTTCCCATGCTGAAGAACCAGTGCCATCTACCCTTGCATCACAGCAGCTCCCCGCCCCTCAGCAGCCTGGGTTCAGGTCTCTGTTCCTGTAACTAATTAAAAGTCTCACATGTACATATTTGTGGAATTAGAGCATTATATAAACTGAGCTCTGAATTTTCAGCAGGCTCTGCCCCTGCCTACTTCTGGAGGCATTTCACTGCTTCAGCCGTTACTAGAACAAACAAGTTACACATGCATTTTCTTTGATGTCCAAATTTAGGTTGCAGGAAAGGTGCCAGAAATTATATCAGCAAAGAGAGAAGTTTTCTATCAGCAGAAGTACAAGAGAAGCAGCAGTAGTACAAACTTCTCTCCACTACTTAATAACCTTTGAAATCTGAGAAACAGGCCTTCCCTCCTGAAATCTCTTCAGAGAAGGGTGCGCTCGCACAGCCCACGTGTAACTTGGCACTTCTGAGACCGCAAATTGGGGGCAAGCTGGCACCTCCTGCATTCCTGGTCTCTGACACGAGCTTCTGGATACCAAACTGAGTGCAGTCAGCCATTAAATGATAATTACAGACTTCTGAGCAGGACAGGACACTCATTTTCTGCCTCACCTTCAATTCCTTTGGCCCACCATATCCCCCAACAGCTAAACTAGAACTCAGCTCCCTCCCGTTCTGTTTGCTCAGTCCTTGAGCTATAAATCACAAGCAAGATTGAGCAAATATTCTACTTGGAGGGACACAGCAAAGCACAAGCCTCAGCTCTGCACATAAAAGCAGCAGTTCAGGTCTTACAGCACCTCCTGAACAGACTTGGCAGCAGCAGCGCTGAGCTGAGATCCTCCAGGGAACACAGGTCCTGGTGTGCGCGCACGGGAGCTGCTGCTGAGCACACCAGATCGGCTCTGTTTGCCCACGCAGCGGCCGTGCTGGGGGGCTCGCATCTTTGGAAAGCATTTTGGGATCAGCTGTCACATTGAGAAAGTGCATGTAAAGATTTGTACATGTCTAAAAGGCACCTATTTACAATAAATATTTGAGTTAATGAATTTCCAACCCATTTGCTTCAGTCTCTTATCTCTTCACTTTGGAAGAAAGGGCCCTTATCAAAACACATGAACTGGCTGAAGATATGTAGTTAAATAAAATGCATTGTATTGACCTCAGGGCTTCAAATTATTAAAAGCAAAGAGACCTTTTCCAGGCAGAGAGGAAAGGAAGAACAATTAATTTAGACTACCCAGCTCAAATCAGCACGTAAGTCTCCACTCTTATCCTGCTGGAACATAAAACTGACTAATCTGTACTCAGCACCTGGAGGGAAACACATTAAGCCCTCAGAGAAAACATGAATTAAAATCCCAGTGAGAAAGAAGTAAAAAAAAACAACCTGAATGCCTTCCTTGCCTTTTTTATTTTATTCTTCTCCTCTGTGTTTAAAGTATTTTCACAACTGTGAAAGCAGAATATCAAACAAAATACTGTTGGTATCTTGGCTGACTCAGAACAGATACAAGGTCATGGTTCTAAACATCAGACAAAATTCCTAGAGCTATCTTATAGGTCCACAAGACAAAGAAAAGAACCATCAGGCACAGACTGACCTTGTGTCCAGCTAATTTTTATCTAAGTGATTGAATGAGGCTGTACCATAGAAAAATGAACATCTCAATCTATCCCAAAGAGTTACACAGTGCAGAATCCATTTACTCTTCCACAGCTTACCTCTGGTTTTAGGAAAGTTTATTAGAGTTTTGCTGCCATTTGTAACAGACGCCTAACCAAATTTTTCAGAAATCAGAAAGGGGAGGAAAGAAATCATAGACGGACTCCAGCGCAAACAACTCATACGCTGCTACCTGAACCTGGGACTGCATCGTTTCCCAGTGTCGTTAACAGGACAGAAGTTCCTCGCTTTAAAGAATCTAAACTTTTCCTTCTAAAAGTTGCACTTACGTTTCCTTGCTTGACAAGATGAGAGATCCTTCTTTTTTGGCCAGGGAACAAGGTAGTTAAATTATCTTCTGTCTTTTCTTCATTTCCTTCCTCTTTGGACAGCTGGAAAACAACAAAAACAAGCTTCCAAAATTGAACAGACTCGAAGATCCCTCTCCATGAGCAGATCTGAGAAGTCTCCTTTTGGGTTAACAGAAAATCCTTGCAGGTGGCAGGTGAGAACAACACGTGGTCAGCTGCTGAGCTACCAAAGCAAACCTTGCTTTGAACCCAAGAGCCACCAACGAAGCCAAAGAAGAGCAGCATCATTGCAGCTCCCACCCAAGCAGTCACTCCACGAGCTGTGCACTAGGCAGCACTGCCGCGATTCAGGACAGCCCCTACCCACCACGAGCGGCCTGAGCACCCTGCTCCTGCCAGCTGCCTGCTCACACACCTCACCTTTCATGGTATTCCTAAAATCCAGTGGGGTTAGGGATTTTTTCTTTTGGTAAGAACTTGGGACCTGACTCATTTCTGCCCCTGTACAACGTGCTGCCAGAACAGGTCCTAAAAACCTGCTCAACGTCAAACCACGGTGCCCCCACGCCATGTTTAGGGAAACGTTTCTCTGCAGTTTTATCCACAGCCATATCTGCAGAAAGACTACGGCGACAGATCCCCAGGTGGCAAATCTGCATGGCCAGAAACCCAGGAGGAAGTAACAGCACCTCTTCAGCTAAAGCTGCTTCTGAGCTAACATCTCAGACTTGCTACCGGCGCAGAGGGAAACCACTTTCAAACCTTCTTTGAATTTGACTCGGCTGTTCAACTCTACAAAACACACTTCACAAGTTTATTTTTCAAAACTCCAGCTGCTCTTCAGTCAATCTTGCTTTCAGTTTTCCAGCAGAGCTCCTGACAAAGCTCTGAGCAGAGACGAGCCTGACAACCTCTTCGAAATTCAGCAACAGAGCTGAAGGCTGGGTTGGGGATGAGCTCAGACTCCGCTCCGGCTGAGCTTGTGTTCATCACCACGAGGGCATTCTGGATGAGCACTGCACACTGAATCACTGCGCTCTCTAGGAACTCGGCAAGTCTGTTAATTCAGTTACATCCTTAATAAACTCTCTCACAAAGTGATCCTTCCCAGTGGAAAAGTACCACACTGCCCACATGCGCCTTCCCTCCGGACTAGCACATTACTGAGACCAAATGACACGGGCTCCATCTACAAAATTATTTCATAAACAAAACAATTCCCCGGGACCAATCCCACCTGCCAAAAATGCAGCGGGGAAGCAGGTACCTACTCACAAACAGCCGTCTCTCAAAGGAGGACCCCTCCGCTGCAATGCTTGTTCCTCCCTTTCCAAAACAGGGGGAAATTCAACGTCAGTGCAGGGATCTAAGGTAAAGCATGTGCAAGGGAAACACACGTGGCTGCTGACAGCTGAACATTCCCACTCCATCCCAGAATTAACGGTTTGCAGGGACTGGCAGCCCCTCGTTCAGCACTTTCTGAATTCAGCCCATTTTGAATCATGCCGGATTTGGAAAGCTCTAAACGGATTAGCATTTCCCACTATAGATCGCATGCTCTTACACTATTTTCACTTAAACCAGGCCATTTGAAGAAACAAAGCCAAAAATAAAGCTCTCATTCCTAGCTGGGAATTACACTAAACACTGAAGAAAGAACAGCTGAATTTTAAACAAGCAAAATCAAGTAATGCTTAATAGTTCAGAAGAAAATCGTTACACTCAACTGCTTTATATAGTTCCTCTACCAAGGCATTTCACATGAGTGTAAAAAAGGTCTTTACTTGTCAGCAACAGCGACTTCTCTCCAAGCAGACCGGGGACGTTATCACAACAGAGAGTTCAGCAAAAAGCTTGAATAGTCCAGCTATTCTTTTCAAAAGCTGAGCTCTCCTCCCCACGCTGCAGATCCCTGCTCACTTTGTCCTCCATGTACAGATGGTCATGAATGGAAGAACGTTGCTCCCGGCCACTTCACCCACCCAGCCAACAAAAGCCTGAAAACCAGCACCGATGCCTGATGCCTTTTCTAGAATAAAAGTCAACAATCAGCCACACCAGGAGAAGCTGCCTCTCCGCCAGGCAGTCGCCTGGTTCCTGCTGCACTCACCCTGCCCCTCCTTCAGATCAATAATCCCACAGGGATCTAAACTGGAACGCACTGGAAGCCCTGACGGAGTCGCAGCACCTCCACCATCTTTTGGAGCAGGACAGCTGCAGCTGAAGCCACCGAGCAGTTCCTCGGACAGACACACTCGTCCTTTGCTACGCCTGTCCCCCAGCACACCGAGGGCACCTGACTTTGTCACCTTGCCCCATGAAGCCTCCCAGGTGACACAGCTGACTCAGCAGCCCCGACACCCTCGCTCTGCAGTCAGATGCACCAGATGCGATAACGTTGGATACAACTTTGGGGCGTTTTCTCAACATTGCCGAATTTGTCACCTTTTTCTTTTGTAAAGCTCTTTCCAATCCAATTGCCTGAACACCTGCTCTGTACACAAGCAGAATCATCCCAACCAGAAAACCTGGGCGTGCTGGCTTGGACAGCAAGACAAACAGCCCTGCCCATGCACAGACAGCTGCTCCTGGGATCCAGGGTTTGCTCTTGCTGCCCAGTCAGACTCCGATGTGGGAAGATGAAAGATGAGTTTTGTCTGCTCCTGCTTCCCTGCCTCAGAAGCTGTTAGAGGACCACTGCCAGCAGCTGCTTTCTAGCCTTTTACACTTGCTCCATTCTGGTTTAATCTTCAAAAATGAGAGTCTCGCATCCTCCAGAGACCACCTCACAGCCACTGGCAGAAGGCTTTTTATGTAAATGCTGTCTTTTTACCTCCTTATCCTGAAATTCTTTGTACCTTTTGAAGAAATTCCATTCTCCATTTCTTATTTGCACCACCCACAAGGTATCCAGAGATCCTCATAAAACATCTGCAGTGTGCATTCAGAATGGGAAACAGTAAACTGGGGAGTCTCAGAAGCGTCCAGTGCCAACTACATCAACTTACTTGCACCAACACATTGTCCTGCTTCTACCTGCCATTACTATCCTTAAACAACGCTGCCACAAGAAGGCATTGCCCAGATTAGCAAACTTGGATTAGCTTTGAAACACCCACAACATACTCCCCAAACCCTTTTCTCCAGCCACCCAGGCCACCACAGTTCTTGGGCCAGATGGAGACAGAAGCAACTGCTAACCCTGAAAGCTAAAGGCCTTCCACACAAAAGGTAACTGAATCCTTACACTCCACAGCAGCTCTCAATTCAGCAGGTAAATTCAGGTGCAAACTCTTCAAAGCACTCAGTCATGACAAGGACGAGATTCTTCCAACGTATGGAATCTCCCTCCATAGCCCTCTTCTGCTACTTAAAATAAGCAACACCACTAAACTAAACCCGAATCCTTTCACATTTAGATGTGAGAGAACCAACCAACCCAAACCAGTATTACCTGCTTCCCCAGCCTCCCCTTGTCTTCAGTTTTCACATCTGTAGATTCATTAAAAATCCTGAGACACTCTTCCATTGGATCTGACTCAAAGTCCAAGTCTTTCTCAAGGATGGAATAATCAATGTCATCAGATGTTGAGGAAGACGACGAAGACTTTGACAATTTAGAGCGCTTCACTTTCTTTGTCCCTTCATTTTCACTCTCAGAGTCCGAACCACAATCATTGCCATCCGAGTCTGAGTTCACATCAAGTAACGTGGACGGCAAAGGCCGGCCTTTGTCATCATCATCCCCGCTCTCATCACCAAACAGGTCAACGTGACTCAAACTCTGCTGCTTCCGACCCTTCTTTGGATCCCCTTTTTCTGCAGAACGGACCTTTTCTTTCTTTCGCTCTGGTGCTGGAGTTTTGGTCCCTTGCTCTTTCTTTTTACAACTAGATGTTTCCTTACCATTTTTCAAGTCAGCTGCTCTCAGTTTGGAGTCCTTTTTGCTGTTCCCCAACTTCTCCGTACTGGAGCCTTTGATGACACCCTCACTCTTGCTTTTCCCTGAACTACTGCTGGCAGACTTGGATTTTTCTTTCTTCAGCCCATCTACTTTTTCTGACTTTTGTTTTTCAGGTTTCTTTAAATTCCCATCGGCTTTTACTTTGACACTTTTATCTTTATAGTTTTTCTCATCATTCTTGGATTTTAATTTTTCTTCTTTCTTGAGCATTTTGTCTTTTTCTGTATTTTTACTCTTCTCCTTTTTACTGACCTCACTGAGGCCAGGTGTTTTACTACCATCTGATTTCTTCTTTTTTGTTTTGTCTTTTGAGTCTTTGTTTTTATTTTCAATTTCCTGGTCATTCTTACCAGAACACAATTTTGCTGCTTTTGCGTTCTTGTCTGCTAAGTTTTTGGCAAGATTCTTCTGTGAACTTGGAAGGTCCTCCATGCCATATTGCGCTGCCGCTTCTTTGCTGTCCTGGGAAGCAAAGTCATCCAGTTTAGAGCTCTGCTCTTTGTTGGATAACCCGTCACTTGATTCACTTTCAGAACCAGCTTTTGATTGTGAACTAACAGAAGCTGGCTTATCAGCCTCATCTTCAGAAGAAGAGAACCTGGCGTACACTTCATAGTCATCGGGTACTTCACAGAGCTTCTTTCGTGACGGAGAATAAGATTCCTCATAGCTAGACACTCTACCCCTTTTAGACCCCTTTGGCTCCTTTTTGCTCAAAAGTCTGGCTGAGTAATTTGAAAGTGGGTCATATTCCAAGTCTGTAGAAGGCTTAGAGTCATCAATCACATATTTATTGTTAGTTACAGTGCTACTGTATTTTTTATTCTGTACTACAGCCTTGGGAACATATTCCAGTGAGCTACCTTTACATCGAGAAGTATCCAAAGTGTATTTACTTGACTGGCTAGCAGCAGCAAGAGGAGTAGGGTTGTACTCCGAGTTATTATTAAAGTTGTAGCTACCTGGATTATATTCTAAGGAATTAAATGAATCATTTTGTGTCCCAGCAGCTGACACAGGCGTATTTGAAATAAGCGAGGTGGCCTCTGAAGTACTGAACTCCTTTGTCGTTTCTAGCAGCTCCTCATACTTTTTCTGCTCTCTCTCAACTTCATTTTTGACTGCCTCAATAGCCTTGTTGACCAGCTCCAACTCCAGAATACCAGGTGTCACATCTGTAATGTCAGCCAGAGCGTCATCCTCCACCTCCAGCGAGGGCCTCGGAAGCTCTGGATTGTAGGGATCATAGCCCCTCTCTGTAAAACAGAAGGAAAAAATAATTTACTGCCAGCAATTTCTTAGGAGAAATATGTTAAAAATGTCTTTTTAACGTCTGCTCTCATCAAAACCCTATACTGAAAGACACTACCAAAATCCATGCTCTCATCACCACAGAAGAGACGTTTGATACCAAAAGCCATCAGTGACATTCTCTGGCCAACAGCAGTTGTGTGGCTAGACTACATTTTACACACTACTCATGGGTCTTAAGTGCTAAAGATCTATTAACAAAGTGTTTTTATTACTCATGGAAAAGCTCTACAAATTAAGTATTCTTCAGGGCACTAAAGAGTAATCACTGTATTAGGACCAAGAGGAGCTGAGTACGCACAGAATTATCTGCTTTATTCAATGAAGCAAGCAAGGGAGGAAAGAGGATTCCAGTATGAAAACCATGGATTAGGTTCTCATTTACCAATGCTGATGCCCATGGCCTACTGAAAGCCTCCAAAATTCCTCAAAGCTCAGTATTTCTCCTGGCAGCTGCAGGAAAAACCACTCTTCTTTGGACTGACGAACTGGGTGCTGCTAATAAGAAAAAACTACAGGTCCAAAGGCAGCGCAACCCATCCGCACAGATCCACCACCAAGACAGAAACATTGCACACCCGGAACTCCAATCCGACATTTCTCTTCCCAGACAACTCCCTTCGGTGGCCTCTCTTAGAGGCACTTCTAGGACTACGAACAGAGGACACACTTTGACCACACTGCATGGCTCTGCTGACCACAGATCTACAGGAGAGCTTTTGGTGAGTGATGGTCCACCCTACGGAACTACATGGAAATGCCAAAGCAACATGCCCAAGGGAAGACTTACAACTGAAGAGTCCGTTAAAGCTCATCTCACAACCTTCATCTTAAAAAGGACACGGGAGTAGCTGTCACAAGCATAAACGCTCTCTACTTTCCGCCATGGTATCCCAAACTCTCCCACCTACCTTTCCAACTCACAGTGAAAAGGAAGGGAAAAGGATGTCATTCAGACATGTGTGCAGAGTGACAGGCACCCTGTTTGCCAAAGAACAGGCAGGAAAATAACTTCTTCATCTTGAAAAATCAGAAGAGCAATGCAGGAATCCAGCAATAAAGATGACTGCATTTAGCAAGCTAACTGAAGCTATGGGTAAGTTAATGGCTGCTTTTGGACTCTGCACAGCTTCCAATCCTTGGTTTACCATAGTGTCTCTGCATGTTGCTATTCCAGAGGAACTTTTTGTTCTTTGCTAGAAGGACAGCAGTAAAACTGGCTTTCCAACATGAATATGCAGAAGAACAAAACAATAAGCAGAGAGATAAAAGATAGGAAAAGAAAAACCCAACCTCCTCTCTGGTCTATCAGGGATGAGATAATTTCTTGTAATGGCTAGAAAGGAACAGTGTTTACAGGAGTCGTTTCTACCATTCTCACACAACTGCCATTTTTTCTCGGATTTTTTAAATGTTTTTTTTTGAGAGGATCCATGAGGGCACAGCTCCCTTTGGTAATAAGAAAAGAACCTGTCTAGCAGTTGGTGGAACTAGCAAGCAGAATAATAGAAACCGCATTAAAAAAAAAGGCACTGGTTTCATAAAACACTTTTTACTCTCTTGGGTTCCCAAAGTTTTTTTCCAAACCAATTAGCTCCTGATTGAGCAGGGACTCTGGGCAATCGCGGTGTGACGTTACTGTCTTCCAGAGGACAGTCAGAGCTGTGCTCAGGAGCAGAAACGTGGGAAAAAGGAACAAGGTGATATATTTCTGTAACTAGCTCCCCCTCCACCTATTGCAAAGTGCTTTACAACCAAGACACTAATAGCATTTCAAAATTAGTCTCTGTTCTTGCCCGTTCCGACACTCAGCAGGGCTCACACCCCGGGGGAGAGAGGGAGGGAGAAGGCGGCACACGAGAGCATCTCAGTGGATGGCGTACACCAGACAGACTGATATCCAGGGCCTCGTTAGAAAAACAAACCACAAAGAAACGCAGGTGACTAGGGGAAACGAAAGCAACAAACCTAGATGCAAACAGCATCATCATCAAGGCCAGTATATATAAACAGACTATAAAAATAATTAGGTATAAATATTAGCCTAACAGCTGATAAAGAACCAAGAACCCTCCATCCCCACCACCTCATTTCTCACCACTTTGCGAAACGTCAGCTCCATAGCGGTAGAGAAGACCAGTGCAGCGAAGGCTGGAGGAGTCAGCTATTACCCCCTAACTTAAGAAGACCCAAAATTTAGCACAAGGATTGTTAGGAGACCAGCTGAAAGCCTGGTAATTTGTGCAGAGGTAAGTATTAGGTGGTCTACAAACAAACAGAGGCGAGAACACAAGTCTGGATCTAAAGACTTGTCAAAATAAAAAACAAAACACCACTACCACACCAAAAAAAAAAAACCCCACCCAAACTAAACTACAAGACACCTTGTTCACACAGAAAAGCAAACTATTTTAAATCTATCATGATACAGAGAAAGTAGCGGACAACCTAAGCACAGGCCTGGTGTCCGACTCTGCTGTTCATCTACACTACAAAACTAATTTGCACATTTTCTTTCAATGGAATGGCCAGACGTAAAAATACATTATAATCCCTGAGAATGCCGGCAGGCTTTGCGATATCGTCATGAATGGGCTCTTTTGTAGGCGTGTAGGAGGCCTGATGGATTACCCAAGCGACGCTGATGAAAGGCTACCTATTCCATGAAAGACACTTGTGTAAGCGGGCTCCACGATGCCAATCAGGACTGTCACCTCTGGCCACGACGCATTTGCAGATAATGCAGTGGAAACACAAGCAGAAGGGGATTTTACTTCTGTACATATCTCTCCACACACACATATATGGAGAGCCATAGACACACAAGTCCCCAAAGTCAGAGAAATTAAACATGTTCTCAGAAATCAGGCCACCCTTTCAGATGCCCAATTATACTCCTAGGAAGCCAGGAGCGGAGAGAGTCTCCGGGATGACTGAGCCCGGTGCCACGCAGGCAGGCACCCGGCTACACCACATCCCCCTTCTTACAACCTTCATACAAGAGTCAAAGGAGTCTTCTTCAGGTTTTGCATTTAATTCCTCTCCATGTTAAACACTAATATGAATACCCATGGTGTAAAGATTACTACAAGAGGAACTACACTGGTTTGCTATTCCAATGTACAAGATGTCCGCAGTATTTCTGCTGAAGCAAAATGAGGCAGAGGCACCACGCAGTGAAATAACTTTTTGGATGGATGTAGAATTGAGAGTCTACACTGTCCTGTGAGAATCATGAGATAATGAGACTTGAGACGACAACTCCTTATAGGATTGTGAACTAAAGTACTATAAGGACACTCTTTAAAATAAAAACTTTTAAAATAAATTGATGTACCTCAGATATAAGAAATAGTCCTTCTGAGACACAAAAAAGTGAAGTTCACAACATTACACAAAACAAATTATTAATAATTTACATAGGACCTCAGGGAACAATTCATTTAACCTAGAACTACTTTAGAATATACCAAAATGAACTGCACTTAAATCAGCCACTTCGGCAGGTAGTATATAGTGGCGTAAAACAAGATTCTTCCAAAAAGCCAAGGCTGATTGTTTTTTTTCCTGGTTACAGTCACATTAGTTCTGGGAAACGAGGCCTCAGTTCTGAGGTGGAGCTGGCTTACTACAGAGCTCCTGTAAGCCAGCGACTCCTTGCTGTACACTGGTCCTTCTAGTTTGTGCAACAGGCGGAGGCAGCCCACAAAGACTGACATTAAATGAATAATGGGAGTACAAGGTCACCTGTTTGATGGCAAAACTTCTTTCAGAGTGAATCATTCTGCAGCAGCAGATGTCTTTTTTCCCAACACCCTACCAGAACACATACTTCAGATGCTTTCAATACAGAAAAGCCCGAATGTATGACAGGTACCTCTTGTTGCAAACCTGCAGGTTTTGGAAGAGGAGACAAGCTCTTGCACGCACGTGGGACATGGATGACAACTACCTTCCTTCCAGATATAACAGAGTTGCTAAGCTGCAGCAGCTGCTGCTAAACAAAAGGGAGGCAAAATTTAGAAACTTTCCAATTTACGCCAATTAGGACCTCAGAACAGAAGGGTTTGCGGGGCAAGCCGCCGAGGGACCAGCC